TATTCACCTTCAAATTGTTTTTAGCGTGCAAAGGCTCAGCACTTGCTGAAAACTATTGCTTTTACTTCTCTGTTCTAAAATGGCCCATTATTTTCGCTTGTCGAGAAGATGCTTTCAGTGTACATCTTTTTGACCTTCTTCTGACATCTTTTAGAAATTGGCACCAAACGATAAAAAACAGTGACCAGTGCAGCTGAATTTTATGGTGAAGATCAAATATCAAACGGAAACAACGATACTTAGCTTGCGCATATAAGTTGATTTGATATGATCTAGTGTGGTGAGATATTGGTCCCCTTGCGACTGGAGTATAGATGGCTATAATAAACAGGAGCCGAGCGAAATGTCGATAGTATTAGTGCATTCAACAGTTCATTATCGAGAACACAATTCTTATCAGACATCTGTGTCTTCCTGTTTGAATACAAGTTCGAAATTCCTATAAATGTCAGAGGTAGGCTGGGTAAAGCGTCAGATAGGATGGATTTACGATGATGTTCGGCAATACAGGCCCGTTTTTCCCCACTTCTATTAACGGGCTTCACAGAAATGTTAAAATTCTCTTGGGACTTTAGGTAATTTTTTACCTTCTGCCCTGTTGCCATCTTTCAGACTTATTTAAGCAAGCGAAATTTCATTTTCTAGTGCAAACTACCTTACCCGAAAAGGCCAAGGACTTCTTCGCATAATTGCTTTTATATCCACGTCACTTTATTTGGTATTCACCTCCACTCTTACGACAACCCCGCAGCGTCTAGTCACTAAGCAAATCAATACTTTGTATACAGATCCAGGACTAAAAAGTTTAATAGCTAAACCTTGGAAACTTTGAAAACCTTGACATACTTGGTGTCCAGTCATTTTTCTGATGTCAAAGACGGGCTAAATAGATAATTTTCTGCCCTAATGTAATATAATTGAACGGTTTACCGTTAACCTGTTATATATATATCGAAAAGATGACGTCTGCTCTTCTACGAGAATGCATATATACAAGACAGTAGGGTTCAGGGTAAGGCACCGTCATTTCCCTGGACTACAGTCAGTCAGTAGCTTCTTATATATACTTGCATACTTCCGCACCATCTTGTCTGCTGACATACTGATAGATGTTTGTACCTCGGAGGATCCATTTTTGATCACGAATCATGATTTGAACAGTTCGCAGGTCATGCAGCTATTTTTTTATACAAGGATATAGGTCTTAAGATGCAATGGTTTTTTTTTCATGTTGCTTTAATCGCGAAACTTCATCGACATCCTCAGTCCTCCACATTGCGAGTAATTCGCGTATTTCTCCTACATAGCCCATTTTCGAGTCATCGCATCGAAGAAGATACACGACCTATGATTTGACATATCCAAGCAGACAACTCTTTTTCTAATGACTTGCTGTCGGATGGCTACCCTGACCCAATTTTGAAGCTCGAATCTCTTTCCGTAGAAAAGTTCACGTCCCTGAGCACATTTAATCTTCCAGTTATTGCGTTCTGGAAGCTTTTAACTCACATAAATTGTCGAGCCCGTTCTAGCAGCTGGCCTAGCTCATGAAATATAAACCAAATGTCTGAAATGCGTTTTCGATTAGAAAGGATTACCTAGATTGAATTACAAGTGACAATATTCTCGGGCACATTGTCGACTCCGCACATCGTGTGGACACCAACAAAGTCATTCGAGTAATTTATAAGGCCCCACCAAACTATAGCAAGTCCCTGGGTCAGCGTTTGCATGCAACAGCAGAAGCAACCGCTATCCGGTT